CCCCACTTCTGTTCAACATTGTGATGGAGGGGCTTAGTAGATTAATGGGGAGGGCTGTGGAGGTGGGTTTCATCAGGGGCTTTAGGGTGGGAAGGGATGTTATGCATCAGCTGGAGATTTCTCACTTGTTGTTTGCAGATGATACTCTTGTCTTTTGCGAGGCTGAGGTGTCTTAGATGAGATATTTGAGGTCGGTGTTTATCTGTTTTCAAGCAGTCTCAGGTTTGAAAGTGAATGTGGGGAAGAGCGCATTGATTCCAGTGGGTGAGGTTCCGGAGATTGAGGAATTAGGTTCTGTTCTTGGTTATGGAGTTAGTTCCTATCCGATCTCTTACCTAGGTTTGCCTCTGGGGGTTTCTTCGAGGATTGTAGGTGCTTAGGATCCGATGGTGGAGAGGGTGGAGAGGAGGCTTGCGGGGTGGAAGAAGCAATATTTATCAAAAGGGGGGAGGGTTACCTTGTTGAAAAGCACTTTATCGAGCATTCCCACATATTATTTATCACTTTTCCAGATTTCGTCCTCAGTTACTACTTGTATTGAAAGACTTCAAAGGAACTTTTTATGGGGAGGTTTGGGGGATGAGTTTAAGTATCATCTGGTTCAATGGGAGCAGGTGTGTAAGCCTGTTAAGTTTGGAGGAATTAGGATTAGGCGACTGTTACCTTCTAACAGGGCCTTGTTAGGTAAGTGATTGTGGAGGTTTGGTATTGAGCGGGATAGATTATGGAGGACAACGATATTGTGTCGCTATTGGGGGGGGGGGGGGGGGGGGGGGGGGGGGGGGCTTGGCTATGGTGTCTATACCAGGAGGTGTCGGTGTTTGAAAAGACATTCGGAAGGAATGGAATGAGTTTTCTAAACATATCAGATTTAGAGTTCTTTTTTTTTTTTTTTTTTTTTTTTTTTTGATAGGTAATCACAGGCAATATTATTTAAAAAAAAAAAAATCGCTCAACAGAAAAAGGGGAGCGAACCCTTTACAAAAAAACAAAGACAATAGAAACACCACTACAGAGAGAAGTTGTCCATAAAGTCCATCAAAGAAGTCGTAGATGAACAGCTTCTCCCGATCACCCAAAAATAAATATAGTGCAAAATATTTGATTTAATCACCCAAATAGGAGATTCCACTCCATCAAAAGCTCTCCTATTTCTCTCACACCACATGCCCCACCACAAACAGAGCGGAGTAATCCTCCATACATCTCTAACTCTCTTAGCCACTTGCCGACCATGCCAAGCCTCTATCATCCCTTTTGTGTCCTTGGAGACCACCCAATCCACTCCAAATAAAACCAAGAACATGGCCCAGATTTCCGATGCAACGGGACAATGTAACAAAAGATGATTCACAGATTCCCCTGCATTTTTGCACATAAAGCACCAATTAATAGCAATCTGGCACCTTTTCCTTAGATTGTTCAGAGTAAGAATGCTTCCAAGAGACGCCGTCCAAGTGAAGAAGGCTACCTTAAGTGGTGCTGAAGTCCTCTAAACAACTTTCCAAGGAAAAACCGTGTGGACGGACTCCACGAGACTTCGATAAAATAGCCTTACCTCAAAAAACCCCTTGGATCCACCCTCCCACACCATAACATCCCTGTCCTCCCACTTTAGTGCTTGCTTATACAGTAAACCCATAGATTCAAAGTTCATGATGGTAGGGAGATTTGGTTTTGGGAGGATGTGTGGTGTGGAGACCGCACTTTAGCATGTTCTTTCACTATACTGTTTAGGATTGCGGTGGATAGGCATGCTATGGTGGCTAACTGCTATTGCCTTGATAGCGGGAGACCGGTTTGGGATGTGCTTTTTTAGCGATCTTTTCAGGATTGGGAGATGGATGATGTTTTTTGGTTTTTAGAGTTGTAGTATAGCCAAGTGATCCGGGGAGGAGGTAGGGATTCTCTTGTTTGGATTCCTTCTGCTAGGGGAATGTTTAGTGTGAGATCTTTCTTCGGATGCCTTTTAGACTCGAATGGGGTGGTATTCCCTTGGAAGGCAATGTGGCGAACTAAGGCGCCATTGAAAGTGACCTTTTTTGCTTGGACGGTTGTATGGGGTACAATTTTGATGCTGTATAATTTGAGAAGGAGAAAGCTTATCACAGTGAATTGGTGTTGCATGTTTAAGTGCAATGGCGAGTCCGTTGATCATCTTCTTTTGCATTGTCTAGTGGTTAATTGTTGGAACCTTTTGCTAGGTTTATTTGGAGCTTATTGGGTCATGCCTAGATCTACGAGAGGTCTGATGGACACCTAGAGAGGGGGTTGGGTGGGAGCACAGGCTCGAGGGTTCTGGAGGATGGCGCCTTTGTGCCTTTGGTGGTGTTTGTGGAGGGAGCGGAATAGAAGATCCTTTGAAAGAAAGGAATCTTCCATCAGTGTTCTGAAATCTTCTGTTATTAGCTCTCTGTTTTTGGGGTTCGAGTAGAATCTGCTCTTCTGCTAAGGAGACTGTTGAGTTTTTGGCTTCCCTGGGGCGTTAGGGTTCCCAGGTTTTTATGGTTTTGTAGGGATGGGTTCCCCTTTTGAACATTTGTTTAATTAATTGCTTATTTATCAAAAAAAATATTAAGAACTTCCCAAAAAAAATAAAATAAAATAAAATAAAAATAAATAAAATAAATTTAATATAATAGGCTTGATGTAAACGAGCTTGTTCACGAGCATCACGAGCCGAGGTTATAATTGTTCGGGCTTAGCCCGTTTAGTAAATGAAACTAAAAATCAAGCTCAAGCTCAGCTCATTTGCTTAGTAAACGAGCCTGAGCTCTTCATGAACAGCTCAGTTCATTTGCAGCCATAGTTGTTAAAGGCTCAAAGAGCACAAAAGCGCAAATGCCTCCTGGAGCCTGAGGCGCAAGGCGAGGCATGCGCCCGATTGAAGTTAGGCGCACGTTGAAAAAAAACAAAACAAAACCTACCCAATAAAGTATTAAAGATGCAATAGTATATATAAAGATTGTAATAATGTTTGGATGCTAGAAAATTTGAGTTCATCTTGCAAAAATCACATGGATGTGCTATTACTACTTTTAAGTCAAATCAAATCTAATTTTGATTAAGCATGAATAAAACGTTTTTGCAAGTTGCAAGCACCATGTTTGGATGCATTAAATAGAAATTATGAATTTATCTTGCAAAAACCACAAGGATCAACTGATCAAGGATGTGCTATATTTTCAAATCAAATCAATCTAATTTTCTATAAGCACCATGATTGATTGATTAGGTATATCTCTATTATCTGTTTTAATAAGGAGTAAACAAAATCAATCAGGCGCATCACCAAATACATGCAAGGCAGTAAGGCACTAATCTACAGAAACAACAACTACACAAAAACCCTCAAAAAAACAGAGGACCAACATCATCCAGATTCTAGACAAGCATAAAAATAAATAAAAAAAATCTGCCAAAAGCAAAAGGAAAGAACTCAAAGAACTGAAAGAAGAGAGAGCCGAGAGAAGAAGAAGAAGAAGAAGAAAAAAAAAATCTGACATTCTGAGAAGAGAAGAGAGAAGAAGAAGAGAGAGGAGGAGGAGAAGAAGAGAGAGAAGAAGAAGAAGAAGAAAAGAAGAAGAAGAAGAAGAAAAGAAGAAGAAGAGAGTAAAAAAAAAAATATGACATTCTGACGAGAGAAGAGAAGAGAGAAGAAGAAGAGAGAGAAGGAGGAGAAGAAGAGAGAAGAAGAAAAGAAGAAGAAGAAGAAGAAAAGAAGAGAGAAAAAAAAAAAAAAAAAAAAAAAAAAAAAATCTGACGGAGATTCGGTGAGAAGAGAAGAGAGAAGAAGAAGAGAGAGAAGGAGGAGAGGAGGAAAGAAGGAGAAAGAGAAGGAGAACTGACCGGCAGATCCGAGAGGACCGAGACTGAGAGAGCCGGCAGATCCGAGAGCTTCGCAGATATCGCCTTCGCTGCCGGCAGATCTGTCTCTTTCCACTTTTGCTTTTGGTTTTCTTTTTATTTTTTCGTTTTGTAACTCGTAAGTTGTGTAATAAACAAATAAAAAGTAATAATAAACAATTAATAAACAAATAATAAAGAATACAAAACTGAAAAAATAACAAAGCAACTATAAAAAAGTTCCCTTTTTCAAGAGGCGCGCCTTCTGTGCGCCTGTGGCCTTGCGCCTGTTATACAAAGGCGGCCGCCCTATTCAACCCCAGCGCCTTAAGCCATTGGAGGCGACATGGTGGCGCCTGGAGGCGCCTTGCGCCTCCAGCGCCTTTAACAACTATGTTTGCAGCCGTACCTGTCTTAACCCTCTCGAGCTACCAAAGAAGCATGTTGGAGCTCCATTCACAAGGATAGAGAACCGAACACTAGAGATACAAGACTCAATCCACTTCATCTCTCTCTAAACCTCATCCTCTCCATGAGGTAGATAAGGAAACTCCAATTAACATGGTCGCAAGCCTTCTCAACTTGCATAGAACACCAAGAACCCCACTGTTGAGTCTAGAATCCACGCAGTCACCAACAATAAGGAATCAAGAATCTGACGGCCTCCTACAAAAGCATTTTGAGAATCTCAAAATGATATTGTCCAAAACATTCATCAATCTCAATACCAGGACCTTACGAACAACAAAATTAACGCTCTCATTCTCCATCCACCATAAATATCTTAACAATTTCAAACAATAAGGAATCATGAATCTAACGCTCTCATATCTCTATCCACCATAAATATCTTAACAATTTCACCAATCTTCTAAAATAAAACTAATTATGTATTCTTTCATACTTGACAAGGTGCAACCGATAGACTACCTGCTATCCTTTTATATGTTTTTTATTGCCTTCTTTAGTTTATTTGCTTGAAATTATTTTGATAAAATATTATTCTAAACTTAAATCTGAAATCATCTGGACAATTCTAGAAGAATCATCAACTGAACCAGCTCATGTTAGGCAAATCTCCTATTTTAGAAGCAGAATGCCCCAATTGTATCAAATAAGTTTTATTGAAGAAGAAGAAGAATGGTGTATCTTACCTTTCATTGACCAGATCTTAACTGTGTTATCCATTCCACAACTTGCAATGCGATACATGTCAGAAGGATGGAAGTCCTACAATAGCAATCAAACAACCCCAATTCGATATGTTTAAAACTTTAAATACTCACTCCCCATTTTCACTCAAATAAATAGTTGCAAAAAATGAAAAAGGTTTTCATCAATTTCTTCCTTTGACATGTAAAGGACGGTGAGAAAAGAGATCCTTGTAATCCAAACTTACCACACTCAGAACTTCATTGCGATGACCCCCAGCACCAGCAAATATCAAAATGCATATTCCAGTATGAACATTCCACAACCGTACGGATTCATCCTGGTCCAATATTTGATTATTAGTTCTAAAATTATAAAACAGAAGAACTAATTTAATATGAATAGAGTAATTCTTTCTTCTTGGTGAAGATAGTTAAAACACTTACCTTGCTTGCAGACAGCACAAGTGATGGTTTCAATGCCTGGGTCCTGATTTCATTTATCGAGTCCCCATGCCCAACAAAACTCTGCACATTCAGAGTATCTCAGGGTTAAGAACCTTATGCTTTCATTGTTATACTATGTCTGATGTTTTCATAAGAACGGATAAACTTCAAACTGGGTGCACATCTAAGAAGTTCGTTTTGTAATCCATAGATTGATCACTGTCATGGTATGCATATAGAGAATTGGTATGTTGTATGTTGCGTACTTTATAAGTGTATGATAGGATGAAGCTTGCATGAATGAGATAGATGCAATGATATGAGGAAGTCAAATCATGAGTGTTCTTATTAACCAATCTAGAAAGTTTGGAACCACCATTACCTGCAGCGCAAATAGTTATGATATGCATATAGATAACTAGCACCCAGTATGTTGCATACTTTAAAATTTAAATGTTGTATGCTAAAATGAGGCTTTAAGAATGAAATTGATGGAATGAAATGAGGAAGTCGGATCATATGAATGGGTTTGTTTAACCCAAAGACGAAATGAGGCTTGGAAAGGTCGTATGGTGGGAGCCCAAGTCCGTGATTTCTATAGGGTGGCGCCTTTGTGCGTCTAGTGCTGTTTATGGCTCGAAATAAATAGAAGATCCTTTGAAGGAAAGGAGACTCCTATTGGTGCACTGAAGTTTTCCATTATTAGCACCCTTTTTTGTTGGGTTCTACGGAGAAATTGTAAATCCATGGAGGAGATAGTTCATATTTTGGACTCTTTTGAGAGTTTAGAGGCCCTATTTGGCCTTGCATAGTTTTTGAGGGATGCGTTCCCCTTATTACAATCTTACTTATTAAGAAAAAAGGGACAAGTTTGCTTTTTAATTGTGAAAACTTACTATACTAGAAAAAATTTAAAAAGTAAAAGCATTGAACTAAGGCCTAGGAATGGAAGAAAGAATGAATATGGTCATTCTCATTCTACTGTTTGGTTGCAAATACAAAAATGATGTAGGAATGGAATGATCATCACCATTCTAGTGTTTGGTTGGAACAGTTAAAACCTAAAATGGAATGCATTTTAAATTGATTTCTCTAAAATACCCCTCTTAGTGACAAATAAATTAAAGTAACAAAATAACATTCTTCTATAATCTTTTGAAAAGAAATGGCAGTGGTGGTGGTGGTGGAAGGCGGCGATGGTGGAAGTGGAAGGCGATGGTGTGGTGGTGGTGGAATTCAACGGTGATGGAAGGTGACGACTGTGGCGATGGAAATGGTGGTGGCGGGGGAAGTGGTGGAAGGCGACAACGTGATGGTGGTGAAAGGTGGCGGCAGCATTGAATGCCGTCAGGGCCGGTGGTGGAAGGCTGTGAAGCTAGTGATGATAGCGGCGGAAGGTGGCGATGGTGGCGGGGTATGAAGGTGGTGGTGGTGGGGGCAGTGGTGGAAGGAGTCGACAGCGGTAGTGGTGGTGGAAGGCAACAGCGTTGATGACAATGGTTGTGGAAGGCGGCGACAGTAGCAGTGTAGCAGTGTAGCGGTGGTGGTGGTGGTGGTGGTGGTGGTGGTGGTGGAAGGGGGTGGCGTTGGTGACGACGATACTGGAGGCTGTGAAGGTATAGTGGTGGTGATGGAAGTCGGAAGTCGGTAACAGTGGCGATGGTGGTGGTGGAAGGCGGTGGCGTTGGTGACGATGAAAGTGGAGGCATAGTGGTGGTGATGGAAGTCGAAAGTCGACAACAGTGGCAGTGGAGGTGGTGACGGGGGCAACGGTGGAGGCGGTGGAAGGCAGTGATGGTGGAGGTATGGTGGTGGAGTTCGTGATGGCAGGCGGTGGCGGAAGCCATCGCGGCGGTGTAGTGGTGGTGGAAGGCAGTGACGGTAAAAATAGCAGTGGAAGTGGCGGCAGTAGAAAACAATGACGATGGCAGTGGTGGTGTGCTAGTGGAGGTGTTGGCAGAGGCGATGGACGGCAGTGACGTTGGTGACAATGACGGTGGAAGTGGCGGTGGTGGAGGTGGTGGCGATGGCAGTGTGATGGTGGTGGAAGGTGATGGCGATGGAAACCGGAGACGGTGGTAGCGGCAGAGAGGTGGTGATGGGGCAGTTGTGGTGGAACGCCTGTGGTGGTGGAGATGGTAGCAATGGAAGGTGACGGTGTGATGATGGTGGAAGGCAGCAATGTTGAACAACAAGCCCTGGGTCAAAGCTAACATAGAGAGTGATTTTTTATTTTTATTTTTTTGGTTGAGTTATTTTATTTTATTTATTGGTGAGATAGGAATGGCCATCACATTAGTAGAATAGGAATGACCATTCCCACTTTTTGTTGAAATGAGCATTCCAATGGAATGACTTGAAATGACTATTCCACTTTTAATATAGTGCACCAAACAAGAGAAAAGGAATCAAAAGGTGGAATGGTCATTCCATTCCATTCTTGTGTACCAAAGTAGCCCTAAATTTAACTTTTTCCTTTATCACGTCAAACCAAACATAACTTATAATGTTGATCTCTATATTTCATGTGCCCCCTTTTTTTCCCTAAATGAAGGGAGTATATTAGGAAAAAAAAAAAAATTGAACTATATGGTACAAGGCAGAAGTGAGGGCATACCCTCGTGATAAAAATAGTGCCTTATAGTAAGGGTGCATAAAGAACCGGTGGAACCAGAACCGGTGCTTCAGTTCTGGTTCCTAACGGTTCCGGTTCCAATTTCTAGGAACTGTTGGGAACGGTTCCAATTCCGGACTCCCAAACCGGAACTGTAGAATAATTATATATATTGTTTTTAATTATATAATTACTAATATATATGCCTATTAATGCCTACAGAGAGAGATATATAATAAATGTATGTTCTCGTGTACAATATTATATATCAAAATGTACTACAAATGGCTTTAGAGTCGTTAAATTATTATTTAAAAAAATAAAAAATAAATAAAGGAATCGGAACTGTGGAACCAGTTAGGAACCGAAACCGTTCCCAACGAATGTGTGGACTATAAGCTGAGTAGCGGTGTTCCTGGAGTTTTGTGTAAGCTCGATATTGAGAAAACCTATGATCATGTTAGTTAGAATTTCTTTATCTATTAGAGAGGATGGATTTTGGAGAGAGATGGAGGAGATGGATCGAGGTTTGCATTTCCTCTGTCATATTTTCTGTGTTGGTGAATGGGTCTCCATTCGGGTTTTTTTTGCAATTCTCGAGCTTTGAGGCAAAGGGATCCTCTCTCCCCTTTCCTGTTCATTATTGTTATGGAGGCTCTTAGTAGGTTGATGAGAAAGGCTATGGATTTGGGATTTATCAAGTTTTAGGATGGGTCCAGAATCAGTTCAGCAAATGGAGATCTCTCACTTACTTTTCACAGATGACACTCTGGTTTTTTGTGAGATAGATGTGTCCCAATTGAGATATTTGAGATGTGTTTTGGTTTGAAAGTTAACGTGGGTAAGAGTGTGCTTGTTCCTGTGGCAGAAGTTCAGGATGTGGCTTCTCTTGCGGCGGTTTTAGGGTGTGGGACGAGCTCCATCCCTATTTCTTATTTGGGCTTGCCATTAGGTGATTCGTCAAGGAGGGTGAAAAGTTGGGACCCGATCATAAAGCGATTCGAGAGAAGGTTGGCTCGGTGGAAAAAAACAATATCTTTCGAAGGGCGGAAGGGTTACTTTGGTGAAGAGTACATTATCGAGTCTTCCAACTTATTACCTTTCGCTTTTCTAGATCCCTTCCTCTATTGTTGGAAGACTCGAGAGGCTTCATAGAACTTCCTCTGGGGAGGCCGGGGGGAGGAGTTTAAGTATCATCTTGTCTGGTGGGAGCAGGTTTGCAGGCCTCTTCAGTTGGGCAGTCTTGGGGTTAAGAGGTTGGCCCCCTTCAACAGAGCGCTCCTTGGCAAATGGTTATGGATAATTGGTATAGAAAGGCATAAGTTATGGAGGGGGGTTATTTCATGTTACTTTGGGGAGGAAAGTGGGGGATGGTCATCTAGGTCAATCAGATCTGTTGTCAGCGTGGGGGTGTGGAAATTCATTCGGAAGGGATGGGATGAGTTCTATAAGAACATTAGATTCAGAATTCGGGAGGGAAGGGACGTCCGATTTTAAGAGGATGCTTGGTGCGAGGATCGCCCATTGTCTTGTTTGTAAGGTTGTTCAGGATTGTTGTTGATAAACGTGCTTTGGTGTCGGACTATTATCGGCATGATATCGGCAAGCTTACTTAGGATGTGTGATTTCGACGATCCTTTTAAGATTAGGAGTTGGACAATGTGACTGGTTTGCTAGACCTTTTGTATAGACAATAAGTGGATGGTACTGGTTCAGGTTCCTTGATTTGGGTGCCTTCTCCTCAGGGGACTTTTCAGGTCCGTTCCTTTTTTCTCTGCCTCTCCAGGTTTCACGGTTCCAATTTCACGTGGAAAATGGTTTGGCGTTCGAAGACTCCTCTCAGGGTGGCTTTTTTTTGTTTGGATTAAAGCTTGGGGCAAGATTTTGACTCTGGACAATGTGAGAAAGAGAAGACAGATCACAGTCTGGTGTTATCTGTGTAAAAATGGAGAGTCTGCTAATCACCTCCTTTTGCATTGCCACGTGGCTCACGACTACTGGAGTCTTATTTTTTTTATGTTTGGCGTCCACTGGATTATGCCTCGGGCTTCAAGGGATTTTATCAACGTTTGGAGGGGCCACAGGGTGGGGGTTCATGCTCGTAACTCTTGAAGGGCGACCCCCTCTGTGCTTGGTGGAGTCATTGGAAAGAGCAGAATAAAAGATCTTTTGATGGAGAGGAATCCTCCATTTGCGTGGTCATCTGTGTTGGAAAAGATCTTGACCCAAGATAACTTAAAAAGGAGGAGACAAGTGGTGGTTAACTGTTGTTACATGTGTAAGAGAGATGAGGAAACGGTTGACCACCTTCTTTTGCATTGTCTAGTGGTTCGGAATTGTTGGGTTTTTTTGTTGGGTTCGTTTGGGGTTCAGTGGGTTATGCCCAAGTCCTCCAAAATATTGGTTGAGGCAGGGAAAAGTTGTATAGTGGGCACCCAAGTTCGTGATTTTTGGCGGAATAGGAAACAACATCACATGGTATCAGAGCTTAATTTCTCTTCTTACGTTCGAACCCCTATTTTGGGGTATAACCTTAGCATCTGAAATGTTGCTAAGGGTTTTTCGGTGCTATTTGTGACTTGTTTGGGCTGCCGGTTTGTTCGGCAGTAATGTTCTTTGCCATTGCTGTATCTCTGACAGTTTTTATTGACTTGTTTTTTATTGACTTGTTTGGGCTACCGGTGTGTTCTGTAGCATTGTCTTCGTCTTAGCCGTGTCTCCGGCAGTTTTTATCAACTTGTTTGGGCTACTGGTGTGTTCGGTAGCATTGTCCTCGCCTTTGCCGTGTCTCCAGCAGTTTTTTGTTGACTTGTTTGGGTTGTCGATGTGTTCGATAGCATTGTTCTTTGTCTTCTCTTTTCATCATTCACACTTGTTACTCGTCATCTCAATGACAAGTTGAGCATTCATGCTCCAACTTGAGGGAGAGTATTGAAGATTTAATGGAGGAATTAGTGGAGGAAAATCTTTCGATGTTGTTTCCTATTAGTGAAGATTTGGTGTTACTAAAGGAATCAGTGGAGAAATATCCTCCTTGTTTACTATTTTCTAATTCTTTCCATTCTCATAATTTCTTCACCTATATAAAGGAGCCTCCACCATTGTATTGTGTATGAATTGAGAGAGTACTATAAAAGTGATGTAGCCCTCTGGGCTCTTTGTGCCGTGGATGTAGGCCCTAGTGGCTGAACCGTGTAATATCTGTGTATTCGACTTGTTTTATTTCTCTCTTCGCTTCCGTTTTATGCTTTACAACATGGTATCAGAGCCTAATTTCTCTTCCTAGGTATGGACTCCTATTTTGGGGTATTCCCTTACCATCTAAAATGTTGGTAAGGGTTTTTCAGTGCTATTTGTGACTTGTTTGGGCTGCCGGTTTGTTCGGCAGTAATGTTCTTCGCCTTTGTTGTGTCTCCAGCAATTTTTATTGACTTGTTTGGGCTGCCAGTGTGTTCGGTAGCATTGTCTTCATCTTTGCCGTGTCTCCGGCAATTTTTATCAACTTGTTTGGGCTGGGTGTTCAGTAGCATTGTCCTCGCCTTTGCCGTGTCTCCGGCAGTTTTTTGTTGGCTTGTTTGGGCTATCGGTGTGTTCGGTAGCATTGTTCGTTGTCTTCTCTCTTCTCTCTTCATCTAGGAAGCACAGACACGCCAAAATGGGTGAAGAATCCGTGTCGAACACACCAAAAAACGTGTCTGAAATTTTTTTATTTTTTTTTTTTTTTAATGCTGATATGTTCTGTTTTTTGTTTTGTACTACTCTTTTGACATTGTAAATGGTAAAAGTCCTAGGTCAAATGATGGATGGGAATAGATGATAATATACTGACTTGTTTTTGTATCTTTTTTGAGACTAGCCTTTAGGTTTTTGTGAATGTTAAGTGCTAACGGTAAAATCCTAAATGTTAAATAGTCATGAATGTTAATAGTCCTTTCTGTCTATGCTTTTGTATTTGGAGTAAAGTTGCAATGATGATTAAATGATACTAGTTATTATTCTAATGTCTTGTTTTTTATTTAGTTTTATAACTATGCAACATTGTTCTTTTATAGTTTATTAGTTATGAGTTATGATTTGTGTTTTTTTTTCATTGTGAGGCTGATGAAAAATATTAACACTCAGTAATTTTTAAAGTACTACATCACATATATATATATATATATATACTATTCGCCGTGTCCGTGTCCTATTTTTTTTGGATTTGCCATGTTGCCGTATCCATGTCCGTGTCGTGTCGTATCCGTGTCCGTGCTTCTTAGCTCTTCATCATTTACACTTCTTGTTACCTGTCATCTCAATGACAAGTTGGGCATTCATGCTCCAACTTGAGGGGGAGTATTGAAGATTTAATAGAGGAATCAGTGGAGGAAAATCTTCCAGTAATTGATGTTGTTTCTTATTATTAAAGATTTGGTGTTATTAGAGGAATCAGTGGAGAAAAATCCTCCTTGTTTCCTATTTTCTAATTCTTTCCATTCTCATAATTTCTTCTCCTATATAAAGGAGCCTCCACCATTATATTGTATATGAATTGAGAGAATATTCTAAAAGTGATGTAGCCCTATGGGCTCTTTGTGCCGTGGATGTAAGTCCTGGTGGCTGAACCACGTAATATCTGTGTGATCTACTTGTTTTATTTATCTCTTCACTTCCGTTTTATGCTTTACAACAATGCCCGAGTCCTCCAGAAACTTGGTTGAGGCTTGGAAAGGTTGTATAGTGGGGGGCCAAGTTCGTGATTTCTAGCGGGTTGCGCCTTTGTGCATCTGGCGGTGTTTATGGATTATAAGAAATAGGAGATCCTTCAAAGGAAAGGAGAATCCTATTGGGGCATTAAAGTTTTCCATTATTAGCACTCTTTTTTGTTGGGTTCTAGGGAGAAATTGTAAATCCATGGAGGAAATAGTTGATTTTTTGCACTCCTGAGAGTTTAGAGGCCTTGTGTATCTTCCGAGGGATGCATTCCCCTTTTGAAGGCTTCTTTTATACAATTTTACTTATATATAAAAAATAAAAAAGAAAAAAAAAATTCTATTATTAGTTCTCTCTTTAGTTGGGTGATGGGGAGAAATTGTATATCTTTAGATGAAATCGTGGATTTTTTTGGGTCTATAGGACTCCTTTTTTGGCTTCGGTTTTCGTATAGCTCTTGGGAATGTGTTCCCCTTTTGAACGCTTTCTAATACATTTTTACTTATCAAAAAAAAATCGAGTTCAAACAATACTAGTTATTAGCTTTTCTCAGTAACTACGATTGGGACACTAATAACTCCTTTTACAAAGAATATTGAAACATGATGAAGCAGTGAGTTGATACTTAAATACAAGTATATTACCAGAATCTTTGCATATCAGCTAAATGAAGATGGAAGGGGCTAATCACAATAGGAAATGATAAAATGATGCAACAAATTGCATCATTTAGATGTATACTGCCAATAAATAAGCCCATGTTAGTTTCCTCCTCTTGCATACATAGGATATCTTTCCTATAAATTATTACTTCAATTTTATTGATAATTTAACAATTTAATAGACTATTCCTTTAAATACACCAATCCAGTTGCTAAAACAATTCCTATGGAAGTTAATGATGCAGGCAGAATTTCAAATTTCTGCAAGTGGAATTTGTGTTTTTCAAATTCTGCCTGCATCAGTTAAACACGAAATTTGCAGTATATAATTTATTTAATTTTTTTTTTTTTTTATAAGTAAATTTGCAGTATAAGATACCTTGTGTATTTTCTCATTGCCAGCATCAATAATGCGGATTATACCATTAATTCCTCCAGCTACTAAGAATGGGGTCCCATCAATATTGCACGCCCAGCTCACAGTGTAAAATGATTCATCCTTCTGATCTACATCAAACATGGAGACCCCAAATGCTCTTTAAGAAGACGTAGAAGTTTACATATAAAAATTACATAATATATCAAACCAAAAGTATTTCTATTACGTCTTCATCAATGTAAGACTGCAGCACAGCAATAACACCCCCATCAAGGCATTGGTATACAGTCACCTGCGAAAACATGAATCACATACAAAGAAAAACAAATGAGAATTGTACCTCTTTTTTTTTTTTTTTGATAAGTAAACATATATTAACAAAGGCGCTCAAAGGGGAGCGAACCCTTAACAAAGCAAATGAGAATTGTACCTTTGTTTCAATTGTTTTGAAACAGAGACTGATACTAGAGCTGATAAAGATGATTTTCATCATTGCTATTGAATTTTTTTATGTGAGCTTATATAATATATTATCATCTTATGAGATAAACAGAACATCCACTGTGAGCATACTCCTAAGAGGGGCATCCCGAATAAATAAATAAACAAAAAAGGAAGCGACTACGCTATTTTGGAAGAATAAAGAATCAATTATCATGAAGGCATCTCTGGTCAGGTGCTGCAAAGTTCAAAATAATGACTAGACCTCTAAAGGCTCTAACACGTCTATCAACATCAACCTTTACTAAAAAACCACTAAAAATAAGAAATGCTGAGATACTAAACATGTGTATTTTATATATATATATATAAGTAAAATTGTATTAGAAAGCATTCAAAAGGGGAACACATCCCAAGAGCTGTACAAATACCGAAACCAAAAAAGAGAGTCCTATGGACACAAAGAACCCAAAAAGTCCACGATTTCATCTAAAGATATACAATTTCTCCCCATAACCCAACTAAAAAGAGAACAAATAATAGAAAACTTCAACGCCCCAATGGAGAATTCCTCCCCATCAAAAATTCTTCTATTCCGCTCTTTCCAAAGACTCCACCAAACACAAAGGAGGAGTCACTCTCCAATAGTCACGAGCATGAGCCCCCACCCTTTGGCCCCTCCATACGTCAATCAAATCCCTTGACGTCCAAGGCATAACCCATTGGACGCCAAACAAACCCAAAATAAGACTCCAGTAGTCATGAGCCATGGGACAATGCAAAATAAGGTGATCCAAACTATCCATCATTCTTACACAGACAACACCAATTGACTATGATTTGTCTTCTCTTTCTCAAATTGTCCAGAGTCAAGATCCTACCCCAAGCTGCAGTCCAAGCAAAAAAGGCCACCTTAAGTGAAGCTTTTGAATGCCAAACCGTTTTCCACAGAAAATTGGAACTGTGAAACCTGGAGAGGCAGAGAAAAAAGGAACGGACCTGAAAAGTCCCCTGCGAATAAGGCACCCAAGTCAAGGAATCCGAACCAGTACCATCCACCTCCTGTCTATACAAAAGGTCCAGCAAGCCAGTGACGTCGTCCAACTCCCAATCCTGAAAGGATTGCCTGAACCGCACATCCCAAGACAACTTACCGCTATCGAGTCGATATCAGTTAGCTACCAAAGCATGTCTATCAACAACAAACCTAAACAACCTTGGGAACAAACAAGACAATGGGCGATCCTCGCACCAAGTATCCTCCCAAAACTGAACGTCCCTTCCTTCCCTAACTCTGAATCTAATATGCTTAGAGAACTCATCCCATCCCTTCCAAGTGGATTTCCACACCCCCATGCCGACAGCAAATCTGGCCGGCCTAGACGACCATCCCCCTCTCTCCTCCTTCAAACAACATGAAACAACTTTCCTCCATAACCTATGTCTTTTGCTACCGAATCTCCATAACCACTTGCCTAAGAGTGCTCTGTTGAAGGGGGCCAATCTCCTAATCCCAAGACCGCCCAACTTAAAGGGCCTGCAGACCTGCTCCCATTGAACAAGATAAAATTTAAACTCCTCCCCCCGTCCGCCCAGAGGAAGTTCCGTTGAAGCATCTTAAGTCTTCCAACAATAGAGGAGGGAAGTTGGAAAAGCGAAAGAAATAAGTTGGAAAACTGGACAAAGTACTCTTCACCAAAGTAACTTTCCCTCCCTTCCAAAGATATTACTTTTTCCACCCAGCCAACCTTCTCTCGAAACACTATATCACCGGGTCCCAACTTCCCACCCTCCTTGACGAATCAACCAACGACAAGGCCAAGTAAGAAATAGGGAAAGAGCTCGTCCCACACCCTAAAACCGCTGCAAAAGAAGCCATCCTCCTGAACCTCCCCCATAAGAACAAGCACACTCATGCCCACGTTGACTTTCAAACCTGAGATTGCCTGAAAGCAGACCAGGACACATCTCAAATATCTTAGTTCACACACATCTGCCTCACTGAAAACCAAAGTGTCATCCGCGAAAAGCAGGTGAGAGATCTACATCTGCTGAACTGAATCTGGACCAATCCTGAATATATAGGAGTACATAACTGTATATATAGTGCCAAGAACGAATGATCTTCATTATCATCGTCATTGACTTAATCACATATAAATAGGGTTGGACACATGAATTATCTTTTTCCATTATTTCGATGGGATTCGGTGGGCGGTTGAGGAGATGGATTCTTTTTTGCATCTCTAGCGCTCGTTTCTCTGTCCTTGTGAATGGAGCACCGACGGGTTTCTTCTCTAGCTCAAGGGGTTTGAGACAAGGGGATCCGCTTTCCCCTTTCCTGTTCCTTTTTGTGATGGAGGCTCTTAGTAGATTGCTAAAGAGGGCTGCGGAGCTGGGTTTTTTGAGAGGCTTTCGGGTGGGCAGGGATGGTGCTTGTCAATTGGAGGTTTCTCATTTAATGTTTGCAGATGACACTATCGTGTTTTGTGATGCGGATGCGTCCCAGCTGAGGTATTTGAGATGCGTTCTGATTTGGTTTCAAGTTGTTTTTGGCCTTAAGGTTAATGTTGGTAAGAGTATTCTTCTTCCGGCTGGGGATGTTCTGGAGATTGAGTTGTTTGCTCACATCCTTGGTTGTTGCACTGGCTCCTTTCCCATTTCTTATTTAGGTTTGCCTTTGGGTGCCCCCTCGAGATGTGTGGGGAGCTGGGATCCGGTTGTGAACAGAGTGGAGAGGAGGTTGGCGGGTTGGAAAAAGTAGTACCTGTCTAAGGGGGGTCGGGTTACCCTGATTAAGAGCACCCTTTCTAGCCTTCCTACATACTTCATGTCTCTGTTTCAGATTCCTTCTTCAGTGGCTGAGAGAATTGAAAGATTGCAGTGCAACTTCCTTTTGGGGGGGGGGGGGGGGGGGGGGGGGGGTGGGAGAAAGGAGATGAGTTCAATTTTCACTTGGTTCGGTGGGATCAAGTGTGCCGTCCAATTCAGTTTGGAGGCTTAGGGTTTTGGAGGTTGTTGCCGTTTAATAAGGCTCTTCTTAGTAAATGGCTCTGGAGGTTTGGGATCAAAAGGCATTGGTTATGGAGGAAAGTTATTGCTAGCAAATTTGGGGAAAGTCGTGGTGGGTGGTGCTCCCTGGAGTGTGCGTGGTCCAAGGGGGGTGGGAGTTTTGGCATTTCATTTCGGAGGGGTTGGGATGAGTTCTGCAAGCATGTCCGTTTTCGTATTAAGATGGAAGGAGGATCAGTTTTTGGATGTATCTCTGGTGTGGGGATCTCCCTCTTGCTCTCGCGTTCCTCGGCTTTATAGGATTGCTTCTCATCGACAGGCCATGGTTATTGACTGTTATCATCTTGATAATGGGGAGACTGTCTTGGGATGTTCAGTTCAGGAGGCATTTTCAGGATTGGGAGATCGAGGATGTTCTCGTTTTCTGGAGCTGCTGTACAGTCAGGTGATTTCTTTTGGGGGATCGGATTGGTGGTTCTGGATTCCTACCTCGCATAGCCGTTTTGAGGTTAGGTCCTTTTTCAGATGCCTTTCGGTTGGTCATGGAGATCCCTTCCCTTGGAAGTGTATTTGGCGGTCCAAGGCTCCCCGCAAGGTCGCCTTTTTTGCTTGGACCTCTGTTCTAGGTAAGATTTTAACCCAAGATAATCTGAGGAGGAGGAATCAGGTGGTGGTTAATCACTGTTACATGTGTTTTGTGTAATGAGGAGACTGTTGATCACCTCCTTTTACATTACAGCATGGCTAGAGATTGTTGGGATCTGATGCTTCGTTTATTTGGGGTTCACTGGGCCATGCCCTTTTCCTCTAGAGGGTTGATTGAGGCTTGGAGAGGTGTCTCTGTTGGGGCTGGCATTAAGGATGCTTGGAGGGCTACGCCGCTTTGTATCTGGTGGTGCATTTGGCTTGAGAGAAATATGAGATATTTTGACAGGAAAAAGAAGCCTGTTTCTATGCTTAAGTTCTCTGTTATTTCTACTCTTTTTTGTTAGGTTTCAAGGAGAGATTATAGATCTATGGAGGAAATTATTGTGTTTTTTGGCCTCTCTGAAGGTCTAAGGAGCCCTTTGGCCCTTTTGTTTCTTTTGTTCCGTTGGGCTTCGCTCCCCTTTTTAGAGCATTTTTTATAAAATCTTACTTATCAAAAAAAAAAAAAAAAATATTCAACTTTCCAAAATCACTTTCAAAAACAGCATGCCATATTAGTTTTGGCCGGCCACTCTCTCTTACCTCTAGTTTCCAGGATGCATTCCCCTTTTGAACACTTTCTAATATACTCGGTATTTGTAAAAAAAAAAAAATTGTCTTCTTTATATGTCTTTTCTTTCTCTAATTTTATTGTTGATAAAAACCATTCGTGATGGAGACTTCCATTAGTAATTTTATCTTTTATACTCACTCTTACCATCCATTGTAACATTCTAACTACATCTACATAAATGCATGATCTTACTTTATTTTTATTATTATTAAATTTTTTTATACAAGTACAGTTTCATTAAAGAGCGCACCCAAAGATAAACAAAAGCCATTCAAAGCGCCACTAGCCACAAAAACCTACAAAATCAACCAATCAACAAAGTCAACTCCTACAACTAATGATTTGCAATTTGTCCCTTTCACCTAAAAGAATAAATTACTCAAAATAGCAAATTTTAATGTTGAAATAGGAGTTTCCTTCCCCATCAAAGGACCTACTATTCCTCTCCCACCACAATCCTCACCACATACAGGGTAAATTGCCAAGGAGGACCACAAAATCCACTATACATCCCCTCCAAGACTCGAGCATGTTCCATATAACTAGGAAACACAAAATGGACTCTAAAAAGAGCGAGG